GATCGACCCGCGATCTTAAAGTTTTAAGATCGCGGGCGAATCCGGGCCGTCGGGCCGTTTACGGCCCGGATCGCCGCGGTGCCTTGGGGAGTTCGGTCCGAAAGGACCGTTGGCGGGCGGGCGTGAAAACTACGGCCCTACGCGACGCGACGCGACTACGCTACGCTACGCGACGCGACCTATGCTACGCGACCTACCTACTCTACGCGACCTACGCTACGCGACCTACCTACTCGACGGGACCTACGCTACGTGACGCGACCTACCTACGCTACGCGACCTATCTACTCGACGCGACCTACCTACTCGACGCGACCTACGCTATGTGACACGACCTACCTACGCAACGACTGATCTTGGATACATGCTTTTCTCTCTCTCTCTCTCTCTCTCTCTCTCTCTCTCTGTGACTGTGCTCTCCGGTGCTCGGTGCTCATCTTGGATACGTGCTTTTCGTCACGTGCTGATCGTGAATCCGTGCTTTTCTTTGGTGCATGATCACGCGCTCATCGTCGATCCGTGCTTTTGGTGCTCGGTGCTCATCGTGGATACATGCTTTTCGTGCTCATCGTGGATCCGTGCTTCTTTTTGGTGCATGATCACGTGCTCATCATCGATCCGTGCTTTTCGTGTTCATCGTGGATCCGTGCTTTTCTTTGGTGCATGATACATGCTTTTCGTGCTCATCCTGGATCCGTGCTTTTCTGTGGTGCATGATACATGCTTTTCGTGCTCATTGTGGATCCGTGCTTTTCTTTGGTGCATGATCACGTGCTCATCGTCGATCCGTGGTTTTGTGCTCATCGTCGATCCGTGCTTTTCGTGCTCATTGTCGATCCATGCTTTTCGTGCTCATCGTCGATCCGTGCTTTTCGTGCTCATTGGCGATCCGTGCTTTTCGTGCTCATCGTCGATCCGTGCTTTTCGTGCTTGGTGCTCATCATGGATACATGCTCATGGATCCGTGCTTTTCTTTGGTGCATGATCACGTGCTCATCGTCGATCCGTGCTTTTCTTTGGTGCATGATCACGTGCTCATCGTCGATCCGTG